GTTAATAAAAGGCTTTGCTGTGAAGGGATCTGTGAGAAAAGGTGCTGGTTGTGAGCCAGCAGTTCTTCTCCCCTACTGCAGAGGCTGACGTTACAAAATCTCTGTCTGTGTTTGATCATTTTGTCCTCTTAAACTCACATTTCTCTGGATTTAAACCCAACATATATCTCCTTTAGCTCTGCACATCTAGTCACTAAAATGTTTGCCCATTCTTATTTGTCATTTTAGATGGAGAGGACTGGAGAACAGCAGTTTTCAGATCTTGGATTGGGTTTATGTCCGGACTGTTACTGGGCCGTTCTAACACATGGATATGCTCAGTTTTAAACCGTCAGGCAACTTCAGAAAGAAATTGGTTGCACTAAGACGAAGTGGGGTGGTGGTACTTTTGCACACCGCACTTTGCAGTTTTCTAATTGGTAAAAAATGTTTCACATTATGTATTATTTAATTTCAACTGTATACAACTTTGTGTTGGTCTTTTACATCCGATTCCTTTAAAAAATGGGTTCATGTTTGTGGATAAAATGTGAAAACGTCACAAAAATCAAGGGTTTATGTAGACTTTAACAAGCCACAATGTGCGTGTATATATATTAGTGTTGCACCGATGCCATTTTTTGGCCCAAATACCAATACCCAGCTGTGCAGTATTGGCTGATACTGATACCATACTAATAACATCTGTTTGAAACTGATGTGTGTGTGTGTATATATGAAGAACTGCATACTGCTTGGATGTAAAATAATTGCCATCATGGCTTTGTCCAGCTGCTGCCTACCTTTGTGAAGCAGGAAAAAGACTAAAACAAAGTGAATCCAGTAGAACTTTTTATTGCCTACCTGGAATGGGTAACAATAGTTGAATAAACTTTTGGCCCTCAATATGGTATCGCTGCCCTATTTGTTGGTACTCACCGATACCGATACCACCATTTTAGTGCTGATCGTGGCCCCGCCCGATACTGGTATCAGTGCAACACTAATATCTATATCAATATATACATCAGGGGTAGGAATTGGGACGATTCTAGTGATATGATATGTATCACTATATGCTATATCCTGATAATATTTAGAGTTTTATAATAATTTAGCTCTGGAAACCTTGCAGTATCTTGCTATTACTCTGCTGAATAATAAGCTCCTGGGCGGTGTGCTGCCAAATAGTGGCTGCAGATTAAAGAGGTTTATAAAAGTAATACAATGACATAGATATTTGCATTTTTACAATAAAGATCCATCCAGCCATATGTTGAATCAATACCAATATGGTTTAACAAAATATCTCGATATGTGACAGAATAGGTTTTTGCTTGCTTCCGTAGTATAAATGTGCCATATTCTAATTAAACTAATGCAAGAAGAGGAAATATAAATACCGTAATTTTCGGATTATAAGCCGCTACTTTTTTCACAAGCTTTAAACTCTGCAGCTTATAGCCCGATGCGGCTTTTCTATGGATATCGTAAAAGGATTTGTTTCGGTTTGTTTGCTGTTGTGTGGCACTAATTTGCCTGGCAGGTGCAGCTGATGTATGGACAAAACAGGATTTTCCCCTAATTTTAGTTCGGCATCTAATATTCAGGTGTGCATTGTAGTCCAGAAAATACGGTACTTTAAAAAAGGTCTTTATACATATGATGTCTTAAATATGCTCTTTTTGGTGCAATTTTTTTGGGCTTAATTTTTTTTTCTTCTTAAATAAAATACAATCAGGACTAGGATTATTTTCTGAAAACTGTTGCTGTTTTTAGCCAGCTTTGGTGCACCCAAGACTTCAGTAAAAGTCACAATATAGATGATATTCCTAATAAATTAAAGAGATATAAAAAGGATGGTTCTAAATACTAGTTTGTTTTGTACACCAAATATTTTCAAGTATAAGTAGATATTAATCTTTCTGTAATGTCAATTTCCATCAATCACCTGTCCTAGGGTCTCAGATCATTCCTTAATTACAGTTTAGGGCCAGAAGTGATGCTAATTAGCTTCAAATGTGTTTTGCTGTAAAGAAAAGCCAAGGTGACGTATAACTACCGCATAAAACACTGCAGGCTCTGCCGTTTATTAGATAACAGATGACAATGGAAAGAACATGAATTAATTCAAAATGGGCCTTCCATACAAACCTCTCTGAAACACCTAAAACAAAGGAGCCTGTCAGCTCCTATGTTCAACAGGACGGATGAATGAAGGAAAAATAAATGCGGGAGCAGCGGATGGTGGAAATCTTTTCTGAGTTTATCGCTTCCTTCATGTACAGTGATGTCATCACAGCAGGACTGCACCTGTCTGAGGAGCAGCGAGGACCGTGGGTACGTTTATAGCGCTCGAGGCCTCTTGGGGGTTATTTGTTTGCTAGCTTGTTCCTCTTCTTGGAGAGCACAGCGGAAAGATTTGACTTTATCTGAAAGAAGAAACAACAAAGTCATAAATGTTTTTACACACATGAAAATGATTGTTAGAATTAAGCCATTTAAAGAAAGATCTAAGCTAGAAAAAGACCAATTAAATAATGTTTTTCCTGCCTTCTTGTTTATTCAGTGTTGATCCTTTATATGTTTCCCCTGCAGCAACAAGAGCTAATTTTTTATTGAATGCAAAGGTTTTTTTTCTTGCTTTTTCAATTTTTTTATTGATTTTATAAAATGCTTAACTTACTCATCATGCACTGCAAAAATGATCTAGAAATAAGTAAACATTTCAGTGTGTTTCCCCTTAATTTGAGCAGGTAAATAAAATGATTTTCCAACAGAATGAGTAGTTTTGCTCTTTAAATAAGATAATTAGATATTATGCATTTGAAATAAGACAATGTAATAGTTTTTCTTATTTTAAATGTAAATTGTCTTGTTCTATTGGCAAAGTGTCTCACTTACCACCTAAATTCAAGAAAAAATGCACTTATTTTAAGAAAAACATGACTTGGATTTAATTTTTTTTGCGTTTTTGGAAGTACAAACAAATTCTTAAGTGTTGGTTTTATTTGAAATATGGCCCCTTTCTTCCTCACAATGTGTTTTAGGATGGAAAGTTTGCAGAAACAATAACAACGCGGTTTACCCCTCAGCTCAGTCAGAATGTCTATCTTCTGATCCAGGATCTGCTCCAGCTGGGTTGCATATGATTCCACGTCGTAGTCCACCTCCTCTGTCATTTCCAGAAGCACCTTCTCGTCTTCCAGCCAGCGGATCGACTCCTGGGAACAAGGAAGCGGCTCTTAACTGGTTTTCTTTGATGCTCTACTGACATCTAAGGCTAAGACTTAGTTACTACAAGGACATTGTAGGATTCATACCCTTATAATCACATTGACAACTAATTTGGAGAGTGATATCAGTTGTTTACCTGGAACACAGCCCTGTGGTCCTCCAGCACCTGCTCCTCCATCTCCACCAACTGAGACACAACTTCATGGAAGGTGAAGAGCTGTGGAGAAACCTCTTCCTCCTAAAAAACAAAACAGAACTGTTGCACTGCCTGATGATGAGTCGGTATATCACTTTATGTTATCATTACCCTAATCCAAGTTGACCTGGATACAAAAAGAAAAGTTCTGAAAAGGATTTTTTTGTGTTTTCAGAAATAAAAGCAAAAGCTTCATAATTAATAATAGTTTTTAAAAAACTGTTGACTCTCAGAGTCTGATAAAAGGGTCCACATTTGATAAGTTTAAACAAGTTTGAGACAATAAAAAAAAGAAGAGTTCTTGTTGAAGCTAGGACTTTTGCAGAGTGGTCAGTTCAATCTGAAAAACTCACGGAGAAAAAAGACAATTAGAAGAAATTTATTGATACTTTTACTTTATTCTTTGGCGCTCAGACCTCGGCAGGAAACATAGGAGTAAAGAATAGGGCTGTTTCCCCTCCAGGCCTGAAACTGGTGGTGGAGTGGAGATAGATGAAGTTGGTCAGTCTGTAGACTGCTGGTTAGAGAGACGGTCTGCTGACCTTTATGGGGAGATCCAGTGGACTGCGTGAGCTGATGCTAGAGCTTCACTCAGGGACCTGGAAGATGGAATTCCAGTTTGGATAACACAGGTTGAGAGAACCTGTCCATGATGAGCAAGCATGAAGCGACAGTGGAGAGGAAAAACTCTCCTTTGGGAAGAAACCTCTGGCAGAATCAGGCTCAACATGGAGGTCTTCTGCTTGACCGGTTGGGATGGGACAGGGAACGCAGTAAGAGTCCGGGAGGAATGACACTCTGATGAAGCTTTACCTACGATGGTGGAGGAGGGGCTGGAGGTGGGTTGAAACGGGGTCATCTGAATGAAGTCACAGCGCATCCGCCGCTTGCGCACAGGAGCAGACAAGTTGCGGATTGGAGGTCTTTTAAAATGAACTTTGGATACTGATTGGCTTTCATGAAGCTGTGGGTTAAAGCTGATTGGCTGTGTCATAGTTGGATAAAGGCAAGTAATCAGTTTATTCAGGCTCTATTACTGTTGCCTTGTAAGAAAAGGCAAAATCTTTGTGCATGGGTTGGCCAAAGATGGACTGGCTCTGGTCCAAAACCTGCTCTGTCAGATCCAGTAAGGATGGACAGGTTTAGATAACGGATGGACAGACGGCTGATTTCAATCCCTGACAGAAGGGTGCAATATAGTCCTTATCAAAAACCACCACTGACTTGATTAATTAATTCAGAGATTTTCCAAAGGAGAATAATAATTTCATAAAAATGCTAATTTATTAGCATAAAAAGCTACAATCAAAAGCAGTATTTAAACTGAACACATGCAGTGGTTCAAGCAAAAGATAAAATTAAGATAAAACTCTTTTTCATCTCAATACTCTCCATTCTGAACTCCTCAAGTGGAAAAGTTACAATTTCTCCTGGTTTTGAAACAATCTCCCGATTATTATTCAATTAATAAAAAATAAAATAAAAAAAGAGAGAGATTAATCGATTTACAAAATAATTGTTAGTTGCAGAATAATAATTTCATAGAGATGCTCATTAGTTAGCATAAAAAGCTACGATCAAAATCAGTATCTAAACTGGACACATGCAATGGTAACAACCCGATGTGCATTTAACAAAAGAGGGGAATCAAAGCAACATATTGAATTGTCAGAGGATGATGGTACTCCATGTGTTCCAGCTCCAAACACAGGAGAGAATTCAGATGAAGAGTCTGTTTAGGTTATTAATAACGCTAAACAATAAAACAGCTGAAAATCCGACAATAATGCTGGAGGCTTTATTTATTTATTTTATTTTCTCTATCTGTCAGTTTCTATCCTTCAGAGACACGCCCTACTTTCCTGGTTTTCCCCTAATTACAAAAACTGAAGATAATTTTGTTGTCTTGTAAATTGTGTATTTTTTTTCTCATAACTAGGCTTGAAATTGTTTATCGTGATTAATCCATGATTAAATTAATTGTCAACTAATTTAGTAATCAATAACGGGAGTATAGAGACTGTAAAACATGCCTCTAGCTGACTTAGAGCAGTGATTATAACTAAATTGCAAAAGAAATTTATGCAATCTTAAATGCAATAAGTATTTAAGATAAAACTCTTTGTCACCTATCAACATGCTCCATCCAGAACTCCTTATGTGGAAAAGTTTCATTTTCTCCTGCTTTAGCTTTGGAAAAATGATTCTTTAAGGAATCTTTGGTTATCTGATTATTCATCGATTAATCAAGAAAATAATCAACAGATTAATCAATTTGCAAAATAATCGTTAGTTGCAGACCTCCTAATAAGCAGTAACCAGAAAAAATTTGGGACACTATCAAAGCATAATAAAATGTTAAGTTAGTAACAGTATTGCGTTTAAACTTTAGCTGTCAGACCAGCAGTAGGGCTTACGTTCTGTTCGCAGAGCAGCTTCAGGTCGTCTCTCTGCGGAGAGCTCCCCACCCCCCACTGAGCCTCCAGTACTTCCAGCTGGGTGATGTGTCCTTCCTCATGACAATCCAGTTCTGATGCAGGGTCCACTGTGACATTCTTCATCCTGGAAAAACATCAGCACTTATTAAAGTCGAAGGGAAGCGGCTGTTCCAACCGTTGCTTTTCCAAATTCTAAGTTAGCAACTTAGTGCTAGTAGGTTCCCAATGGGAAATTCTATTGGGACCAAGTAGCACTAAATTGGTGACTTAGAAACGACACTGTCAAGGAACGCTATGGACAGAGGAAGCATGCAAGAGGAGGAGAGTTTAGTGTCAGAGGTCGTGGATGAGTCTCCTCCGTCATCCATATTTATTATATTTATATTGATTATATATATCTAGTATATATAACATATTATATTATTGTATATAATAATAATAATAAAAATAATAATGAATAGTAACCATAATGTAGAAAGAAAAAATAAGCTCTGCCCCCCCAACCTGCTGAACTTTGGTGAACAGCTTCAACAGCTTAAACTTTGACTGAAACGATAGATTTAGAGGACATGTTTACTGAGACTGCAAGTCTGAGTTCCTTATCTGTCCCCCCCCCTGTAGTCTCAGCTGGGACCACTGATTCCAATAAATAGCGAGGAGAACGCTGGGACTGCAGAGTGGGTTGGAGATTTGTAAACTCCGCAGTCTCTTCCTACTCTCCTCGCGAGTAAACTAAATTAATTGTCTCTGTGCCTTCCTTTCCCTGCATGTATGTACGATGTTTTAGGTGCTTAGACCTGACAGTTACGACTTTATTCTCGTAATGTTACAACTTTATTATCGTAATGTTAGGACTTTATTCTCGCAATGTTATGACTTAATTCTCAAAATAAAAAGAAATCCTATCTCCAGCCTGGCCCTAATACTCTGTCGTAGTTTAGCCTCCCTAGTATTCAATGAGAAATTGCCACTGAAAGAATTGCTTCTTCACTCCAGCCTCCAGAGAGAAGCCCGCCCCGAGAAGTGAAGAGAATGTGATCAAATTCTCGAATCTGTGCGATGGATAGTGTTACATATTGGTCAGGGCGGGTCTGCTGGGTGACCATTCCTGGATGAATTTTAATAAGAAAGGAGGAGGCCAAATTAGTTTAATCTCAGATTGTAGTTATGGTTTTAAGCAGTCAAAATTTCTACATTGTTTCACATTGGGAGTGATAGTAAAAGACAGTTGTCTGGATAGTTTCTATGGGGAAACAAGGTGTAACAATCGTACTCGTAAGTAGGTGAGAGCTCGGAGCGCCCTCCTCCACCACCGGTCTGGGAAAAGGGAATATCTGAAGGGCTTATTCCAAACTCCTTTACTCTGCAGACACAGAGGAGAAGAAGAGGTAAGTTAGACGTCCATATTGTGCTTTCACCTTTAACAATTATTTAAACACAAAAAGCAGCAATATTCACACTTCATTGAGGGTTTTGGACAAATTGAGTGAATTTTGTTCCATCATTTTTGCAAGCGATGAACTTGTTTTTTAAATGGAAAAAAAAAAATGTAATCCAGAAAATAAAGAAGAATAAAAAAGATTTTGAAAGTAACTTTTGTTTTCTCAGATTCTTTTTTTATATTTGGTTTTTCTAATGGTTTTTAAAAGATTCATTATTTAGAAATTTCCCTTTTTCATACTGAGTTATCTTATTATATTCTCTTCACTCCAAATGTTTGCTCTTAATGTGCACATTGACCGCCCCTAGAAGTGAAGAGAATGTTACCTGCAAAATGCAATTATACAAAGAGTGGAATTTGTACAGTTCAATGTGAAAAAGACATTTGAAAATAAAATTTGAAAAATAAAATCTGAAAAAAATAATTATGAAAAAGATCAAGTATAAAAATATTAAATAATTTGAAAAAATAAAACTTGAGAAAAAAAACCCAGTTACTCTAAATCTACTTTTTTTTTTATTTCCATTTTACAGAAGTGTTTTTACAATACAGTGTTTTTATATTTCCATTAACAACTGTGAGATTTTTAAATTCAAATTTCCCTTAAAAAATGTAGCCTTTGCTTTCAATAATAATGAACAATTTATTCCATAAATATAAGCTAATTAGTTGATATCTAGTGAAATATTTTCCATAAAATTAAGTTTTCTGTTCAAAAGAAGCTCATCTTACCTGTTGGCATATCTTAGAGTATTTAACGTATTTTCACAGGAGGCCATCCCAGGGGAAATAGTTGCTATCTGTCAAAACAAAATCATGCTGTTGTTGTATTCATCTTGCGCTAATGCTAACATAGTGCTGTGCTATTCACATCTCACCATGCATGTTCTTGAATTTTCTCCAATGAAGGAGTCTCTCAGGACTTGGGTCAACTTGCTGGCTCTGAACGGAGTATGGGGTTTATTTCTGCCGAGGGCTCGGATGCATTCCTACAGGAAAAGAAAACGATGATTCATTCAGAAGTATTCAGATTCTATAAAGACAAATTTGTAAATTGTTGAAAAAAAAACTAAAGAACAAATCATCTGGAACAAATCTCAGGAAATCTACTAAATATAGCTGAAAGTTTTTAGCTGATACAAAATGCTGCAGTCTATGTTTAAGACAAGGTTTAAAACCTTCATCTTGGATAAAGCTTACAAATAAAATGGCTCAGGTTTTCCTGAACTATCTCTATAGTTATGCTGCTATGGAGTTAGACTGCTGGAGGACACAGGGGCCACTTTTCATCATTCTGCTCCATTCTATCTCGATTACTTTATCCTATTCTGCAATATCTGTTAGATAAACCCCTAGCATCATTTTCTATCTCCTTTGTCTTGCAGAGGTGGAAAGTAACGAAAAACATTTACTCAAGTTACTGTATTGAGTAGATTTTTTGTGTATTTTGTATTTTTCAAGTAGTTTTTAAAATCGGTAATTTAAATTTTACTTGATTACATTTTGAGTGAAGTATTGTATTTCGTTACATTACAAATCCCATCAGTTACTGATAAAAAAAAAAAATTTGGAAAACCGAAAGGAAGACAAAAAAATCGGGCCCGGAAGCACTACAGTGAGTGACGTGATCAGCATGTAGATCTAAGCTACCAGGCGCCAAGTCTTTCTGTAGTAGATTGGGAACGAGATGGAGGTGGATCAGGAGAGCGACGACGGTTCAGAGAACGTTTCACTAGAAATGCTAGCTGAAACATCGAATTCTGCTGCCCAAAACAACGAAAATCCTTGGCCATATTTGAAAGACTGCTTTTCATTTAAATTCAAGAGGGCCAACAGTATCATCATGCAATGCCAGATGTGTCTGCCAAAGGTGACTGAACTGGCAGCAACTAAATAGTTTTGGGTTATTGATTTATGACTCCTTGTCCTATTTCCACTACATGGGAGAGATCCCCTGCCCCGTTTAACAGTTTTTTTTTAAAATGTAACTAAGTAACTTTTACTTAAAATACATTTTAAATTAGCTACTTATTACTTTTACTTGAGTAATTTTTCTGATGGGTAATTTTACTTGTACTTGAGTAATATTTCATCCAAGTATTGGTACTTTTACTTGAGTATGATATTTTAGTACTTTTTCCACCTCTGTTGTCTTGTCATATTAGTTACGCCTGGTTCTGTTTGGCTGTGAGACCATCCTGGAGGAAAATATCAGCTGGGCTGCTGCCAGCAATACCTTGGATTATAGATAATACAGTTGGGCCTGTTTGCCTGAATGTTTGCACCTATTTAAAGGGAGTTTGTTCTCTCCACTCTCACTGCATGCATTGATTCGTATGAGGAATTGCTACAGAATAAAAAATTGAGCTGATATGAACTGTCATGAGACGCTCATCAATGAGGAGCTAATCCTGAAAAGTCAAGTCTGTTCATCCAGTCCAGTCTGTTCATCCAGTCCAGTCTGACTGAATAAACATACTGTTCTATGCCTTATCAGATATTATGCAGAATATAATATATAATAGAAACACCGGAAATCAGACAGATGCTCATCCTTCTCAAAGAAGGAAGCACATTCCCCCAACAGCAGGCGACCAAGGTGTCAGTGCTAAAGCGTCTTCAGAAACCCGCAAGAGCAATAAAGTTGAAACCACCTGGCAAAAACTAAACAAACCGACCAAATATAGCAAAACCCTAATAGTGAAAAATAGGCATAACGCACCTATTTTAAAACCTAACTTGCAGAGCCTGACACTTCTGTAGATTTCCACTGAATTATTCCATGAGAAACTTGATTAGCAGCAGGTGAAGAACAGTCTTACTGTAAAACAGTACTGTAGGTTAATCACCAGCACTGAGGTGCAGGATGTCTAGGCTCACCTACCTTCAATGCAAGCAGGCTCTTGTTGATCTCGGCTCCCTCCAGTCGGGTCTGTCGGTCGGCGCTGGACGTGTCCGCCCCTCTCTCGTTCCCTGCCAGGTCTATGAGGGAGAACTTTCCATGCATCTTACCCCGTCGCCGCAGGATGATCTGGAACACAGCGTGGCTCCGAGAGGAGTGAGCGTTAGCTGAGGTCTGACCGGAAGTCCTGAAAAAGTCAACACCTCTCCGTCAGTTCTTTGTTTTTTTCCTTTGTTTCACACATTCTGAAATTTCCTTTGGCGTTCACCTGCAGCTGTTTCCCATTTCGATGAGTTTGAGGACATCCTCGGTGCATTTCACCTCCCTCTCCTGCAGCCCTACCACCTGCACCTGCTGCTTCCCATCCTCCAGGACTCGTAATTTGGCTTTGCGGTTTAGCAGGTCAAACACCTTTGAATGCATGTAGAGATACACTAACTGCTATCCAGACGTTACAGTATATGCTGTTTTTTCTTTAACACACCAACCTTTCCGCTGTAAATCTCAAAAAATGTGGCAAAAACTTGCAGATCCAACTTCTTATAAACAGGTTTCTTCAACATGAGAAAAACATCTCTGGCTGCAGGGAGATAAAACGAAAGGTCAGCTCAGATGAATGTATAAACCAGTAAAAACATATAGGAGACACTGACCTGACAGTGCGTAGATTCCCTTAGAGCAGTCCTGGTTCTTTCCTGAAAAGTCCCCTCCCATTGTCTGAAATCACACACAATGCAATATGAAAGAAAACATAAAGTCACTGAAGAGGAAAGGAAAAGAAGCAACAACTAAAATCGCTCACGTGTGTTTTCCCACTTCCGGTTTGTCCGTAGGCGAAGCAGGTCGCCATCCCTCTTTCAAAAATTGTCTCAACCAGTGGCTGAGCTGTAAACCTGGAAAATAGGCAAAAAACCTGTTTGGTGACTGGAATGGTAAAATTTTCCATTTCCAATTTTTTTTTTATTTCACCGGACACAGTAGACTCAGATATTCTAATTTCCTTTTTTCAGGTTGGTGAAGGCACCATACTGTTAGAAATCCAGTTTGTGAAGATTGTGTTTTGTGTCTTTCTCTCCCTCCACCACCAGGTGGTGCCCTGTCCTTGTTGGTCCTCTCACACACCTGCGGCTGGTTGACTCATCACTGAGGACTATTTGAGCCATGGACTGTCACTACCTCGACGCCAGAGTGTTTGCCAGTTTTGGGTACTCTAGCCAAGCTGAGTTTTGCTGAGTCTAACTTAGTCTTTGTTTTTCGCTGAGCCTAACCTAGTTTTTGTCTTTCCCCTTTCGGTAGGAAGCCTTCCTGCAAGCTGGATGTTTGTCCTTCTCCCCCTGGAAGGATTGTTTGAGTCTCACACTGAGCAGGGGATAAACCTCCACAAGTTCCGTTCAAGTCCTCC